AAAAGTTCTGGAAATGAGGAGAAGTATGATTTTGATATTACTAAAGCTGACAAGATCTTTGATCTGCTACTCCGAGAGAAGCAAATTCAAATTCCTGCTGGTCATACAATCCCATCGGATGAGGAATTAGGCAAAAAGAGGTATTGCAAATGGCATAATTCTGGGTCCCATTCTACTAACGATTGCAAGGTTTTTAGACAGCAGATTCAGGTGGCCATTGAGGGATGCAAGATTAGGTTTGATGATTCCAAAAAGCCGATGAAGGTCGATGGTAACCCTTTTCCTGTTAATATGGTGCATACAGCTGGCCAAACAGCCGATAGGGCCCGTGCAAGGGGTTTTCAGGTGAATTCGGCTAAGATTATCAACAAATATCAGAGGAAGTATGACAAGCAGCAGGAGAAGCATCATGAAGAATACGATGATGGTTTTGATCCTCATTGGGGTTGTGAGTTCTCTAGATTCTGCTGGAATGAAGGTATGAGGTTGCCATCTATTGAAAACTGCCCTGGGTGCAATCGGCTAAGGCAGACAAGAGTTTCTGTTCATCAAAGATTGGGTCCAGTAAATCAAGATCATGGCCAAGAGGACAATGTAATCAGGAAGAATCAATGGTGTCCTTCTAGTATTTTCACGAAGAATCAGAAGAGAAGGGTTCAGAGATTGAGGAACAGGGAGCACCTTCAGGAGGTTGAACAAGAAATTAATCATCGGCTGAAGAAAGCAAAGCCAAGGCAGGAGTGGCATGTTAAAAATCAGGTTCCTGTAGCCGATAATGTTGCAGCCGATGAGGCAAAGAGGTTGGCAAAAGGGAAGAGTGTTGTGACTGCACCGGTTAACATGGTCTTTACCTTGCTAGCCGAATTCGGGATCGATCAACCCGATGTCGACGAGGTGGAAGAGGAATCAGCTAAGTTGGTTCTGTCACCGGAACAGGCAGTGTTTGAGAAACCTGAGGGGACAGAGAATCAGCATCTTAAACCATTGTATATAAACGGCTATGTCAATGGAAGCCGATGTCTAAAATGATGGTTGATGGTGGGGCCGCGGTAAATTTGATGCCTTTTGCTATGTTCAGGAAGTTGGGTAGATATGCTGAAGATCTCATCAAGACAAATATGGTGCTCAAAGACTTTGGTGGTAATCCATCGGAGACCAAAGGTGTTCTAAATGTGGAGCTGACAGTCGGCAGTAAGACTATTCCTACCTCGTTTTTTGTCATCGATGGGAAGGGTTCTTACAGCTTGTTGCTTGGAAGGGATTGGATTCACGCCAATTGTTGCATTCCTTCAACTATGCATCAATGTTTGATTCAGTGGCAAGGCGACAAGATAGAGATCGTTCCAGCCGACAGGTCAGTTAATGTTGCCAGTGCCGATTTAGCTCTTTGGGAGATGGATGACCTTGATTGTTTATCTGGAAAAGTTTGGGATGGAGATTTTCTAAAAGTGTCTGATTCTGATATACAGCCAATTGAAGATGGAGAACCCAAGCTATTATTTTGAGGGCGTCGTGGAGGGTTCAAATGTCTACACTAAGGATACGGTAGATGATCTCGATGACAAGCAAGGTCAAGGTTTCATGTCGGCTGATGATTTGGAAGAAATAGATATAGGTCCTAGCGATCGGCCAAGACCGACATATATTAGTAAGAACTTATCTCCAGAATTTAGAACTAAGCTGATAGAGCTCTTGAAAGAGTTTAGAGACTGCTTCGCTTGGGAGTATTTTGAGATGCCAGGACTCAGCCGATCGATTGTAGAACATCGGTTACCTATCAAGCCGATATGCTTGAACATGTCAAAGCTAAAATTAAACGATTGTATGATGCTGGTTTTATTCGTCCTTGCCGATACGCTGAATGGGTTTCTAGTATAGTTCCAGTTATTAAGAAGAATGGCAAGGTCAGGGTGTGCATTGATTTCCGAGATCTAAATAAAGCCACACCGAAGGATGAATACCTAATGCCAGTAGTCGATCAGCTGGTTGATGCTGCGTCAGGGAACAAAATTTTGAGTTTTATGGATGGTAACGCAGGATATAATCAAATCTTTGTGGCTGAAGAAGATATTCATAAGACAGCTTTTAGATGCCCTGGTGCAATCGGCTTATTTGAATGGGTTGTCATGACTTTCGGCTTGAAGAGTGCTGGGGCTACATATCAAAGAGCCATGAATTACATATATCATGATCTAATCGGCTGGTTGGTTGAAGTCTACATCAATGATGTGGTTGTTAAGTCTAAAGAAGTTGAGGACCATATAGCCGATTTGAGGAAAGTTTTCGAGAGAACCAGAAAATATGGCCTGAAGATGAATCCGACAAAATGTGCTTTTGGTGTATCGGCTGGCCAGTTTTTGGGATTTCTTGTTCATGAGAGGGGGATTGAGGTGACTCAAAGGAGTGTTAATGCTAATGCGATCAAGAAGATTCAGCCCCCGGAAAACAAGACCGAATTGCAGGAGATGATCGGCAAGATTAATTTTGTTCGAAGGTTTATTTCTAATTTATCTGGAAAGTTAGAACCTTTTACACCATTGTTGAGATTGAAGGCCGATCAGCAATTTACTTGGGGGGCAGAACAACAGAAAGCTTTAGATAATATCAAAGAATATCTCAACTCTCCTCCTGTTTTGATTCCTCCACAGCAAGGGATACCTTTTAGATTGTATCTGTCGGCCGGTGAGAAGTCAATCGGCTCAGTCTTGATTCAGGAGTTGGATGGAAAAGAACGAGTTGTATTTTATCTCAGTCGTCGGCTCTTGGATGCTGAAACTAGATATTCCCCTGTGGAGAAGTTATGCTTGTGTCTGTATTTTTCGTGTACAGGGTTGAGGCATTATCTACTATCCAACGAGTGTACTGTTATATGCAAGGCCGACGTTGTCAAATACATGTTATCGGCTCCAATATTGAAAGGAAGGGTTGGAAAGTGGATATTTTCATTAACCGAGTTTGATCTTCGGTATGAGTCGCCGAAGGCAATTAAGGGACAAGCTATAGCCGATTTTATTGTGGAACACCGTGATGATTCAATCGACTCGGTTGAATTAGTGCCATGGACTTTATTCTTTGATGGATCGGTGTGTACTCATGGTTGTGGTATCGGCCTAGTTATACTTTCCCCTAGGGGGGCATGTTTCGAGTTTGCTTATACTATTAAACCGTATGTGACTAATAATCAAGCTGAGTATGAGGCAGTGCTCAAAGGGTTGCAATTACTCAAGGAAGTTGAAGCCGATGCTATTGAAATCATGGGGGATTCTTTACTGGTAATCAGTCAATTGGCAGGAGAATATGAATGTAAGAATGATACGTTAATGGTTTATAATAAGAAGTGACAAGAATTGATGAAGGAATTTCGGTCGGTTACTTTGAAGCATGTGTCTCGAGAACAAAATATTGAAGCTAACGATTTGGCCCAAGGGGCATCGGGGTATAAGTCGATGATCAAAGATGTTAAGGTTGAAGTTGCAGCAATGACAGCCGATGATTGGAGGTATGATGTGCATCAGTATTTGCATAATCCATCTTAATCGGCTTCTAGGAAATTAAGATATAAGGCATTAAAATATACACTGTTGGATGATGAGCTTTATTATCGAACGATTGATGGAGTATTACTTAAGTGTTTGAGTGCCGATCAGGTTAAAGTTGCAGTCGGCGAAGTTCATGAAAGAATTTGTGGCACTCATCAATCGGCTCATAAGATGAAGTGGTTACTTCGGCGTGCAGGGTATTTTTGGCCGACAATGCTGGAGGATTGTTTCAGATATTATAAGCGGTGTCAAGATTGTCAGAAGTTTAGGGCAATTTAGCGAGCGCCGACGTTGGCTATGAATCTTATTATTAAGCCATGGCCATTCAGAGGTTGGGGAATTGATATGATCGGTATGAGAAACCCACCATCAAGTAAAGGACATAAGTTTATATTGGTGACGACTGATTATTTCATCAAGTGGGTGGAGGCGATTCCTTTGAAGAAAGTTGATTCTAGAGATGCAATTCAATTCGTTGAAGAACATATAATCTACCGATTTGGTATTCCTCAAGCTATTACAACTGATCAGGGTTCAATCTTCGTGTCCGACGAGTTTGTTCAGTTTGCCGATAGCATGGGTATCAAATTATTGAATTCTTCACCTTATTATGCACAAGCTAATGGGCAAGCCGAGGCATCTAATAAAAGTTTGATCAAATTGATTAAGCAGAAAATTTCTGATTATCCTCGGCAATGGCATACTCGGTTGGCTGAAGCGTTGTGGTCTTATAGGATGGCTTGTCATGGATCGATCCAAGTCCCTCCTTACAAACTTGTTTATGGGCATGAGGCTGTTTTGCCGTGGGAAGTTAGAATCGGCTCTCGAAGAACGGAGTTACAAACTGATTTAACAGCTGATGAGTATTACAACCTTATGGCCGATGAGAGGGAGGATCATGTTCAGTCACGATTGCGAGCACCTGCAAAGATTACCAAGGATAAGGAACATGTTGCTCGGCAATACAATAAGAAAGTGGTGCCAAAAGATTTTTCGGAAGGTGAACTTGTATGAAAATTGATTTTACCAATTGGGACTCGTGATAGTAAATTCGGCAAGTGGTCGCCGAATTGGGAAGGACCGTTCCAAATTTATAAGGTTGTGTCTAAGGGAGCATATATGTTGCAAGGGCTTGATGGTGAAGTCTATGGACGGGCGCTCAATGGCAAGTACTTGAACAAATATTACCCAAGTGTTTGGGTTAACGCATGATCGGCTAGTGTTGCCGATGCATGATAGCCGATGTGTTTCCATCGCCTTGAGATGGCCGATATAGTTATATTGCCTTTCGTTGTTTTTTCATGTTGTAATCGGTTGAGGTTTGCCGATGTACAATGGCCGATATTGTTATATCGCCCTTAGTTGTTTTTATAATTTTATCAATGCTTTTGACATTATAAAATTAGGGGGGCACATATATATCAAAATGCAAATTTTTTGAGCGAATTTTGAAGTCATATTAATCGGCACAAAGGATTGTCAAGACAGTAAAGTACTAGAGTATCTTAGCTGATTACAAAGATTTCTAAGTCCTATCACACAAAAGTTATTGAGACAAGTATCACTGGATAGCCAAAATAGCCCTTTGCCTAATTTGTTCTACTTCTTCAATAGCTTGGGCATCTTGTGCATCAGTTCCACAGATGACTTTCAGGGACTTGGTTAGGTCAGCAACATTCTTGATAGCCGATTTGAGCCTTGCCCTTTGTTCTTCAATTGATTTTGGGAGATCGGCTAGCTTTTTGTGTTCCATATCTAGCTCGGCATTGCATTCTTCAAGTTGCGCCAAGAGCTCAATCTTGTGAGCTTCGAGCCGATCAATATTGGATTTGATCAGACCTTCAGATAGCTGATCAAGTTTGGTCTTCTCTTCACGCACAAGCTGCCGATTAGCTTGAATTGTGGCCTCAATCTCTTTGCGCTCACGGCGTTCGGCTAGTCTTAGCTTGGCTTTTTCCCGCTTGAACTGATGTTGCTCGAGATAAGCGGCTGGAGTTCGGACATCGGCCAAATCTTCGGGAATCAGAGCTTGAACTTCATGTAGCCGTGTCCTAATTGACCCACAGTCAACTACCAAACTATCTAAAGAAGAGGCTTCTAGCCGATGAGAGATATCTTCAAGTGTTCTTCTCACATCATCAGATAGGGGAGCTAGAGCTTTGCTTGAAGTGTCTTCTTCTGCCTCATCAAGGTAATCTCTGATGTCAAAAGAGAAGAGACCGGCTAGAACCAACAGAGACAATTTCGGAAAGAGTAAGAGCTGGGTAAAATGTAGCCGATCTAATTGTTGAGACAAAGGAAAACTTACTGGGATAGCAGGAGCAGCTGGTTGTTCTTCCTCCTCGATGTGATGACACCACACAGCTGATGCAGTCTGGTCACTTGACAATTGCTGTACAGAAGGAGAAGGAGGAGGAGGCTGTAGAATAGACAAGTGTTATATAGAGCAGGTTGAGTTTGATTAAGTAAAAGAATTAAAGACATCTTACTGGTGGGGCTGACTTGACAATCGTTGCTGCTGGCTTTTTCTTCACAGCAGTTTTCTTTTTCTGCAACCACAAAGTCTATGAGTAATTAGCCGAAGAGGGAAGTAATTTCAGAAGAAGTCAAAGAGAGATACTTACTCTTGTAAAATGAACGGGGGCAGAAGGAGTTGGAGGCGTTTGCTTGGGTGAAGCCGATGGTGTTCTTTCTGTGTCACTCATTTCGGCTACAGCCTGGTCAACATCTTCACCAATTTCCTCTTCATTTAAAGCTTGTACAATAGATGGATCCAAGGCGGGCAAATCATCAGTCGGCTTATCAGTCGGTTGAGTTTTCTTGAATTTGGTCTTTTTCTTTGGAGCTAAGGCCAAGGTACTCACGGCCGATGATCTGGTTTTCCTTTTCTTGCCTGCATCGGCTGGATCCCTGGTTAGGCCGTGAAGGAGAGTTGAAGTCTTGGGGGCATGGTAGCCGATAATGGGGGGAGATAGTCCACCTCCATTCGGAATTAGACCTGGAGCATATTCAATGTTTTTGCCACTGTTACTTTGATGTGAAGGGGAGGACTCTGTTGTCTGCAAAATAGGAGCAAAAGATTAGTCATGTAATGAATCGGCTAACCGATTATGCAATTTAGTAATGACAAAGTTTACCTGGGGTATGACGTCAGGGAATAGATCTGTCAAATACATTGAAGCCAATTGATGAAATAGATGCAACTTCCATTCACCCCACCATCTGTCAAAGTTTTTGCTTCTAAATCCTGCCAACTCAATATTATCAATGCTGCCTAGAGGGGGTCCTAGTAGGTTAAGTAGCCGATCCATCATTAGAGTGGATGTGATTTGTCCTCGGTACTGAATCTTGTCGGCAAAGAATAAGCCGATTGGGAGTTGGCCCAATCCAAGTTGTTTGGCCGAGCTCATTGGGTGATAAAACTCGTAGGAGACTTGGATGTTTCTCCCTTGGTGAATGCCGACAGGAAGGATGCATGGGCTGATTGCAGCTATAAGAACTTCTCTGGATTTTTGGAATTTTTCATGATTAATGTCTTCAAATCTAAAGTCTGATGGAAGTTCAAGGTCTGCTGAGTCTTCATAAGGAAACCTGATCCGTGCATCTTTCATAAAACCTTCGTAGAAGCTACAGAACCATTCCTTGAGCAGCTCAGCCGATAGCTTTGCTTCAGCATCGGTTGGTGTGGATGCATATTCTCCATATGACATGCATCTGCGATGGGTGCGCTCTTCTCCGTCGTCTTCTACAATCGGCTCTGGCAATGGGAATTTATCTTGTCACATAGGGCCGATTGACAACCTTCATGACTATCAGGTTTAACCAAGTTTGTAGCAGCCACAATGGTCCACCTGCTCCGACTATTGAGCCGACGGCTATTTTAGCCGATGCATTGTTCAACATTTGGTACAGATAGCCGAGAAGGATTTTGCCCAATGGAAATCTTTTCTTTGATTCTAAGGCTTCGGCTACAAATTGCCAGTTGGTTATAGGGCCACAACTGGATCCACAGAAGAGAAACTTTTCCAGCCACATGAGCAAGAAAGCTACATGCTCTCGAGGGGTAACAGATCCTTGGCCCATATATGCCGCCACATAGCCAGACCAGCCACCTATGCTTTTGGTCTTGAAGTCAAATTGGTTCTTGGTGTTCATACTCATAGGGTTAGCTGATGAAGTTACATCTAATCCAGTAATCATGATGATGTCGATCAAAGTTGGAGTCATCGGCCCTTGGTTGAATAAGAAGGTATTGATGGTGTTGGACCAGAAATAGGTGGCGGCAGCCATCATAGGTTCATCCTTAGCAGAATTGGCTATCGTGAGAGCGAGCGCTTGGCTGATCTCAATCTCATCCGAGTGAACTTTCTTACTAGCCGATACGCGTTGGTACCAGGTGGTCCAGCTCTTATCAGGAGTAGGTTTTTCGAGAGATGGCCAAGACTTGAAGGTATTCTTCCAGTGACCCAGGTTAGGGTTGGCTAGTCCAAAGGGGATCATGTTGGTTTCACCGATGATGAAATCAGAGGGGTCAAGATTGCCGATTGGGCCAAGAAAATAGTGGTTCTTGTGCGAAAGGCTGGTAATCGCGACTAGGTTGGAAAGGTGCTGCAAATCCAAAAGAATCGGGAAGCAGAAAACATGATGAGAAAAGGAGAAATCGATTTGATGCGAGGAAAAGGGATCTAGCCAGTGAGAACTTACCTCAGCGTACTCGGCCGATGGCACAATAGAAGGGCTGGTGGAAGACGTGTAACACCCCAGAAAACCTCATAATCCTGAGATGCCACTAAACAACCATACATAAGTGCCAAAACAATCAAATTTCGGCAACAACTACCTTAGACAAGAAAACGTCGCGGAAGCAGCAACATATAGATTAAAGTTATGATACAACAATTGACTGACATGTAGGGATAGGCTTGAAAAAAGTAGTTTACCAATGGTCAACAACTCTAGTAATTAATTAGCCCATTATATATAAACACAAGTAATCTTATCAGCATATTACAATACTCATGTCTAAGTGAGATCATGTCGTGTGACTGTGTAGCTAATCCCATCCCTTCATACAAACATGTCACAGCAAGTACCTGAAAAGACTAAGGGGGGTGAGAATAAACTCAGCAAGCAAACGGCTTTAACAAGCTATTTAAACCACATGTTTATTATATAACTAATTAAATACCAAGTTATGATTCACATAAAGACAAGTTCAATATCCAAGGACTAAAACCTCATAGCGTCACCAATCAGATCCATATACTCACAAATCCCAGAGAAGAAAACACTTCTCAAAGATATCATCGATCGATAATTCTCATAACATCCTACAATATGTGCATATGCAATGCAATGATATGTACTCCTGGCTTCACACCCAACAAGGCGTGAAGCTGCATCATATTACGGCAATATACGATGCTATACCGGTACAGTCGCAACCATAGGTTCACGACATAACTTCAAATGCAATGCATGTCATGCAAATGCAGTATGAATTCCAGAGTATAACAACAGAACGACATTCCTTCGATTGAGATCAGTATAAGGTTATTATAACCAAGAGCATAAAGTATAACCATAAACAGCGTAAAAACAATAAGTATGATTCAGATAGGAAAATCCTCGGTGTAACATATAATAATCTTGGTTGATGATATATACTTTCAACGTGGAGGTAGAATCAAATAACAAGTCAAAGTTGTAGCAAACCACTGCTACGTTTACTTGCCTTCACCGATGATGAGATGAACTCTAGTTGCATTCCGAAGTGGCATCACCTAGAATAAACACCGGCTCAGACTCAAACAACATGCATAATCATTCAAGAATCACACATACGCTTCCTACGCTGGGATCCCACCCCAAACAACATAAAGCAAATCACCGATAATCTTCCGATAAAAGCAGCATAGATTAACAATTCGATACCTCCAATTCTACATCACATAACACAGCAAAATATATCATTTCTGACATCTACAGAACAAATTTGAATTCTTCCATTTAGCGGGCCTAAAACATGGCACAAAACAGAGAAGTGCAGACCAGAAAACTGTGCAACAACCATTCAAAAGAGCACTGACAACAAACTACAAGATGAAAGCTAACAATTTTTATGTAGGAGGTATATCAAAACATATGCTACAACTTCTGTAAACACAAGATTCTCTGATTCCATCATTAAGATCCTCTAAAATCCCTCTAAACCTGGACTACAGAAAAATGCATCGATATTCAGACAGCCAAATTCAGAAATTGATACCTCCTAAACCACTTGATATAAACTCATGCCATTTGGTCAGAAGATAGATCTACACGTTATCTACAACTTTTGTATAGAGACTTTTCACAGGAAATCCCATTATGTTGGCCGAAAAGGCAGCCAAGGCAGAACTACGTAGGGTGGCAGATCAGCAAAAAAACCCAGTTGAGGAATAAATCGGTTGATCCCAAACTTACTCGCTTCCAACACTTGATCTAAACCCTAATAGAAAACCAAAACAGGGGGAAAGGATCATGTATTAGATACCTAGGCCTCCATGGGCAGCGGCAACCAAAACCCCTCATTTCCTTCTTCATCTCAATTCCCTCCGCTTCCTTCTTTCCCTTTCTTCTTCTTCCCTTCTTCTTCCTAGGTCTGCAGTAGGGCACCCATGGGGAGGTCGACCAGAGGGAGAGGTGGGCGCCCAGGGGTACCAAAAGACGGCTAGGGGGAGGTGGGGAGGGGATCTCCTAGTGTTTTGAGGATGTCCAGGGGGCAGCTGGGCCTTGGGCTGGCCAAAAGCTAGCCTAGCTAGCATATACCTTTTGTTTTTCTTCTAATTTCAAACACCAAAACCTTAGGAACTTCCAATATATCCTCTACGGTATTCTATTTTTTTTCTAGGGCATTACAAGACGACATCGCCGCAGGTGGAGATTTGATCAGGAACGAAATCGCCTGGGGATTGCTTTGTACGTCGGGGAGATCGCCGGAGAGAGAGAGAGAGAGAACAAAGTTGGTTTCAGCGGTGAAAACGGAGGAGGACTGTGTGAGACTTCTCGAGGGTAACGGTTAGTATTTAAAGCACGGCAGTAACGGTCGGAAAACGGCAAAGTGCGAAACTTGCTCAGAGTCGATTTACAGCAAATCCGAAACATTACCAAATATTCTAGACTTGGGGGGCATGTGTTAACATCCAAAATTGGTAATATCGGCATCGGGAAAGAAGATTAGATCGAAGTGAAGTCGAAGGCAGAGATCGAGTTCGAAAACAGAGCAGGAATCGGCTGGAGTCCAGATCGGCTACGATTAGGATCGGCTAGGTCTGAGTCGGACTAGGTAAGCCGATGCAGTCGATTCCGACAATACAACTTGATGTATGACGTCGGGTTGAATTGAGGCACTTCAAGATGATTGCCACACATGGATAGAGGTTTGAGAAGGCAATTGTATCTATTAATTAGGATATTTTATGTAATTTCCTTATAGATATGCTTGGGCAAAAGTCTGCTGCAAAGACTTATGGTATCTTAGAGTTTGTTAGAGATCATAGTCGTGTCCGTTATGGACATATCTTGTAATTCTCGGGTATAAATAGACCCGAGCCCTATGTAACTTGAAGAACACACACGTTCAATACAATCTCGGCGCATCACCACCTTGTTGCTTTAGTTTTATTTCGATGAGTTCTTGCTTTCAAGTTGAGCTGCATCAGTTTCGATCTTCAACAAGAGGTAAAACTTGTTATGATGGATTCTGTCCTCGGGATTAGTGCTTCCATCTTTATGATACTCTAATCTTGTCTATGTAATTCGTCAAATTATCGTATATCTTACATAATCTTCGACAATATCGTCATCTAACCTATAATCGGCTAACATCTGTCAACAGAAGGCAACCGATTGGATTAAATAGTGACGTTGACCTAGATTATATAAGATATCTACCACTCTATGAAACTTCCAGCGGCTTGATTGTCTAGATATTGTTCCTCTTTTCATACTTAATGCTGCATCAGTTGAGTTTGATCTATTAAGTCGTGCTTAGAATATCAATCTCTAGCCTGCCTTCTGGTCGCCGATTAGGGTAGCGTCGGAGTTTCAGCTGATCTTACCTGATTTAATTGTATTTGCTCTATATGCTTCAGCGATATGTTAAATCTGTCCTTTATGTCAAGATCTTATTTGCATTTAAGTATATTAAGCTTTTGTTTGATACATTATACTTGTTTCAATATCCTGATATAGAGTAGTATCGGAGTATTAGCCGATACATGCTAGATCTATCTGATCAGCTATGCTTTAAACATATATAAGGCTGTTATTAATATATATTTCAATCTAAGTGATTTATACTGTCTCGGCATGGCAACCGATCTACCCCAATCACTTGATTTAAGTATATATTGATATAGGAACTATATGTTGTTAATATCTACAGCTGATCGAATAGATTTAGTTCTTTATTGTCTATTTACAACCGCCGATCGATTCACATATGACATCGGCTCAAAGATAAATGATATGTCATCGGCACCTAGCCGATCGGCTATCATTTATAGATTTAACTGCGGTTTCTTTGTCTCTATTTCTTATTAATTGCAGGATCAAATCAACTGGCACGCTAACACACCCGAAGGTGAGTTTTGGACCTGCACTGGAGTTAAGCCGATCTCCCAGGCCTCGTGTTTTCTGTCAACAGCTGCCTGCCTTGGATCCATCCATCGAGCAAGCTCTGGATGAAGAAGAAATTGGCGAGGATGTTGACTAGGCTGCAGCTAATGTAAGTGACACTGAGGAAACACCATCGGCTTCGCCCAAGCAAACTCCTCCGATTCCTTCTGCTCCAGCTCATTTTTCAAGGGTAACCAACTTCTTTCAATTCTTTCTATTTATTTACTTATAGCCGATTACCCACTGATTCTATAGTCGCAGAAGAAGAAAGCTGCCGAGAAAAAGAAACCAGCAGCAACAATTCTCAAACCGGCTCCACCAGTAAGATATTCTCAATTCTTTTACTAGTTGATCTCAGCCGATTCTATATAACACTTGTCCCTTTTTACAGCCTCCTCCACCTCCTTCTCCTTCTGTACAGCAATCGTCAAGTGACCGAACTCCATCGGCTGTGGGGAGTCATCATATTGAGGAGGAAATACAACCAACTGCTCCTGCTATCCCAGTAAGTATCCTTTCGAACACCAAATCCTAGATCGGCTATATTTATTTAATATCTAACTATCTTCAAATTTCTCTTTTGTAGGCTTTAGTCAATCTTTTTTCTTTCAATATTAAAGATTATCTTGACGAAGAAATAGAAGAAGATACCACCAGCAAACCTTTAGTTCCCCTGTCCGATGATGTGAAGAAAACCCTCAAAGACATCTCTCATCGGCTGGAAGCATAATCACTGGATAACTTGGTGGTAAACTGTGTGCCAATTAGGACTCGGCTACATGAGATCCAAGCTCTAATCCCAGATGAGCTAGCCGATATCCTTACTCTAGCTATTTATCTCGAGCAGCATCAATTCAAGTTGGAAAAAGCCAAGCTAAGACTAGCCGAACGTCGGGAGCGTGAAGATATCGAAGCTACAATCCAAACCAATCGGCAGCTTGTTCATGAAGAAAAGGCCAAACTTGATCAGCTATCTGAGGGTCCGATTAGGTCCAATATTGATCGGCTCGAAGCTCGCAAGATTGAGCTCTTGGCACAACTTGAAGAATGTGATGCTGAACTGGACATGGAACATAAAAAGCTAGCTGATCTCCCAAAATCTATCGAAGAACAGAAGGTAAGACTCAAATCGGCTATCAAGAATGTTGCTGATCTAACCAAGTCTTTGAAAATCATCCTTGGAACCGATGCTCAAGACACCAAAGCCATTGAAGAAGTAGAGCAAATTAGGCAAAGAGCTATTTCGGCTATCCAGCGATATTTGTCTCAGTGACATCCTATGTAATAGGTCTTAGAAATTTTTGTAATCGGCTAAGGACCTCTAACTCTTTATGTAACTTATCTCAATAACTGTCATGCCGATTCAATTTAACTCCATATTTTGCTCAAAAATTTGCAATTTTCCATATATGTGCCCCCTAATTTTAC